TATATATATTATTATGGTTTCATTTTGCTTTCTAATAAATAATAAGAAATCATGAAATTGATCAGAATGATATATGCCAATATTATTTTATTTTAGATTTATATTTTAGAAGGGAGCCCACTCAATTTTTGGCATCAAAAATATTTAAAAATCCTGGCATAGAATGAAAGGAAAGTGAGCTCTGTGTGTGTGTGTGTACCTGGTCGATGGCGTGGACGTAATGGAGCGGCGACCCAGGTTGATGTTGTAATATCCTGGACTGTCAAGGTCGGCCAGAGAGAAGTTGGGTCCGCTTGCTGTGGCAACTGGTGCTGAATTAGATACAGACAGAGAGAAGTCTGATTATTCAATGCCATCACTCATCTTTGTTCTCATGACAACATAGTAAAACTTTTCTTCATGTCAGATTTAAGAATAATAGAAATCACAGAAGGTTACACAAGCTTATAAAAGTCAGACACGAACTCTATCATGGTTTCCACAACAATATGAAGCAGCAAAACTGTTTTCAACATTGATAATAATAAGAAATGTATCTTGAGCAGCAAATCAGCATATTAGAATGATTTCTGAAGGATCATGTGACACTGAAGACCGGAGTAACGATGCTGAAAATTCAGCAATATTAATATATTGTCTTATTTGCAGGTTTTTTGGGGGGCTTTTTATTTGTATGCAACTGTTTGAATGATTTTAAGGATTTATAATAATAAGAAAAGCCTTTTTCGTTTCAATACAATGTTGATATTTACGGCTGCTGATCAGAAAGATGCAGCTCATGTGACTTACTCTGTGACACACGGACCAACTCCGCCACGTTCCATACGCCTGACGTCACGAAGCAGTCCTGGAAACTCAAGTGCCCTGGAGAGAAAGAGAGAGAGGCCAGAAATGAAAACACTACACCGACAAATTATACTGAAAAAAAAAAAAAATCCCCATATTTACTCATCTGCACCTGTCAAACACGCGCACACACAAAATAAACTGGGCTCAATTGTCATAAAAAGGCATATAATTACAGTCATCGGTTGGCATATGTTCTCCGTCTCGTAGGAATAACAGGCTACCCCGTACTTATGGTTAACTCCAACCCAGCACTCCAATCTCAGCTAAAACTTAACGAGGACACTAAAAATGCTTTATGTCACACTTAAGTATGTGTGTGCGACACTGCATGCAAATATACAAACGTATTTGCTTTCGCTGTGCATATGGGCTTTCAATATGTACTTTTGTGTGTGTGGGCAAAACGGGTGAATGAGCCATGCTTCCACACCCATCTGCAGTGCTGGCTGAGGTCAGCGTGTGTGTGTGTGTGCCGGTTAACCGCAGCGAGGCCCGCGCATGAGCTCAGTGTCGCCCGCGCCGCAGCCGTGTGGTTCCCATCAGCCAATCACGGAGTGATTTATGAGTGTTCCGCCATTCTCCGTCACAGCCGGCCTAGCAACACTTCACTATAATAAGCTTGGATGGAAATCGCTTTCGCTCACACTCCATATTTGTGCTCGAGTCGGATGAGCATGTGAACTTATTAACGTAAATAAAGCGGCTTACGGTATCAATCGGCTCGTATTTGTGCGTATGGAGGTCCAAGGAGAGCGCGGCTCACCCACAGATCCATCTGCTGACTGGCAGGCGGAGTGGAAAATGGTGGCTGACGCGTTGATTGTGTAGCGTTGGGATTTCATCACGCCGTTTCCACCATTGCTAACCAGAGTTTACTCGCTCGTGGCCTTTAATGACAACTTCAGATGTGATTCTATTGAGTTTAAGTGGACTGCTTCTTGAACAACCAAGGCTTCTCAATCGTTTTTGCTCAATTTTAAGGCTCGGCAAAGAAAAAACCTTGTAGAAGAACCATTTTTGGGTGCCAGAAAGTATGAATAATGACTTTGCAGCGCAGAAGAACCATTTATAGTTCTAGTAAGAACCGTTCAGTGAACAGTTCTTAAAAGAACCATTTTTTTCTTAGTGTGAAGAATATTTGAATGATCTGAAGAACCTTTTGTGGAACAAAATGGTTCCATGGATTTTTAAAGTTCTTCATGGAACCATAGAATCATGTTGTTCCAAACCTGCATGACTGCCTATCTAACTTAAGTAGTTTAGCAGAAGGTTGACATTAAATGCTGACACTTAAGTCTGGAGTTTAGAAAGATTTGAACACTCTTAAAATTAAAGGTTCTTTATGCACTATAGTTCCATAAAGAACCTTTTCATTTGAGAAAACGTCTTCTTTGGAGTGGAAAAAGATTCTTTAGATGGTTAAAATGTTCTTTAAAAAACACACACAGTAAACTGTAAACTCAAAAACTTGAGGACTTCATGGAAAAAAAAGTTGGATTGTACTTTCAACAAACGTTATTTCAAGTTCTACAAACTCAAAACGATTGTATTTTTACTTATGGATCCAAGTTCATTAAGCTAGTGAAACTTGTGTTTCAGTTTGTTTAGCAACCTGAAAAGGTTACATAGAGATACTTCCAAAACGGAGTTTGTCTGACAAAATGGAAGTTGAATTTTTATAGTGTGTTTTTTTTCTTTTAAGAATCTTTAACTGAACAGTTCTTTGGGGAACCAAGAACTCCTTTTTGGTTCCTCCAGACACCTTTATATTAAATTCAAATGTATTTGAGTAAATGAAGACTTTAATTTCTGGGTTGAATGGCATCAGGCTGTAAAATCCTTTTGGAACCTTTGAGTGTGTGTGCGCGATTTTTGTTATGCTTGACCCACCATTGGGCGGAGGCTTGATGTCTGCTTCTCCTTGTTGGTTGGAGTTATCCGATTGTCCAGATTCTGCAAAGCCGACAGAAAGAGAGAGAGAGAGAAAGAGAGGAGGGGAAAAAAAGAGAGCAGATTAAACATGGGACGGCTGGGTTCAGTCCAAAGGTGCGTGAATCAATTAGCAGATGTAGAACATTCTATATATTCTTGGCCAGCACATATTCAATGTAGCGCTGAGACGACACAGCTGGAAATGAGACATGCAAAATGTGCTTCGGTTCTGGATCATTTACATGATATTCAGACAAAATCTGGACCTTTATACGTGAAATCTGATGTTCTGTTTTGTAGTTAGCGTGTATTTGACTTGTTATACATTATCATTCAAAAGTCTGGCAATGGAAGGATTTTTTATTTTTATTATTATATATTTTTTGGTCACTTTTGATCAAATTAATGCATCCTTGCTGAATTAAAGTATTATTCATAAAAAAAGTGTAGGTTTGACAACACCGATTACCATTACTACTGCTCATACTTTGAGTTGGTTAGTGAACAAATGTGTAGCCTTAAGTATTAAACACCAAAGACTTTAGTAACTCCTCAGATTACATGGATTTCAGAATCAAATTCTGCCTAGGTCGATAAACAAAGATTATACTCTATTATTTTTATATAACAATATCTATATATAGACATAAAACCACAAAACAGTCTTTCGGCCATGAAACAAGATCTTTAGTCCGGCAATGTAGACCCCAGGTGTGTTAAAAAACACAACTGGACTTGGTCAGTCGGGTCCAATGAAAAACACAGCCGAAATAAACTACCCACACCGCTGTCCATTTTAGGCTTGAAGGTGCGCTGCTAATCTAAAATCTATAAATCTGCAAAATATACATCCGAGAGCAGCCTGGTGAAACCCAACTCTGCTGTATAGCTCATAAGATGTAGACAAAGGCTGGTGCGCAGCCATCGAGTTGTTTGGACAATGTCTCTGTAGGCTTTTTATCTTAGAAAGTATAGCGATCTTGGAGTGAGACCAGACCCCTGCGGCTGTTTGAATTGGCCGAGACTCACTACCCCCTTTTTTCTATATGCACTGAGGTTTTGACTAACTATAGACCTTAAGAAGGATGTCACTTGGTTACTTTGGCCTTTCCGTGTTTTCTGCTGTGAGTATTGATGAATGTTTCACCTCTTTAGCCAATCATACTTAGTGTTTTTAGCATGTTTGCTAGTCGCTAGGAGGGTTCTGGATAGTCGCTTGCTAGCCCAAGTCAAAAGAGCCTACCCTTCTATGATATTCTGGCCTGTAGATTTGCCTCGAAATTTAGCAGTAGTGGTGTTTGGCCTTAGCATGCACCGCTAATTATGTGCAGCAGCAGAATGTGGTTTAAAAAACCAACAGTATACGTTTTGAAGGAAAAAATTAACATGACAGCCCCCTCTTTCCTTCTTTTTTCTCTCTCTCGCACCCCCTCGTTCGCTTGCTGCTGTTGTTGTATGGAATCCTGGCAGCCATCTTAGCGCTTGGCAGCCATCTTAGCATTGGCGGTACCAGAGCATTCCAGCTAGCTTACAAAAGCACCCACACACAGACGCACTCCTCTCAGAGAGAAAACCTCTCCACCAACGCGCTATACGCTAAAAGCCTCGCAAATGAAGGTTATTTTCAGCTACTTGTGCTAAACGCTAATTGAGGGGGGAAAATATCGACTGCCGCCATGTTTTGTTCACAGATGCACACGTACTGATACTGTGAGCTGATATGTAAGTAAATGTGCTTTAATCGACTCAACTGGATGTAAAACACTATAATCAACTCATGCAATCTCATTCTAAGTGTTATATATTATATTCCTTACAAAAACTACTATAGTGGTACCATGATGGTAACACATTGTTTAATTATTTAAAGGGGCTTCGGTCCCGGTCTTTCACCTCAGTCCACCTAAAAATCTGATTAGCTCCTAAAAATCTGTATTATAAATAATTAAATTTAAAAAAATGAATAAAAATGAATAAACAGATAATAATACATAATACAAATAAATAAATATTTGTATATTTCTAAAAAAAAAAAAAAAAACTTTTTCATGTCTTTTAAAATGTTATTTCTTTTATTTTTTTATTTTTTTCCAGTAAATTCATTAATTTTCATTTTTATTTTAATTGAATTTTTATATAATAATTATTTTTTCACTTAATGTTTATTTTATTTCAAGTAACTAAATATGGATTTAATTAAAAAAAAATGTTTTTAGTTTTAGTTACCTATAATAACCCTGGCATTACCACGGTACATTTTATAAGTAACAAATACCTGCAATTCAGTTCGATTAAAGGAGAATAGTTATTCTAAGACGAATTATGTGACAAGTAAACTCTTCAAATTGCAATCTGGCAGCCACATGAAGGCCACTATTGGACAAATTTTATGGCATTCTAAACTGTAAATACAATTCTAATCAGAATCATTATTCCGTTTAGTTCATTTAAATACCCGGGTTACCGATGGATTCTGTGAATTCAAAATA